GCAACAGAGGACAGAAGCAATTTGTCTCACCCTTAGATAGATTTGCCATGTATGGGGACTTTATAAGCATGTGCCCAACCTAGTTAGTTATCGATGTAAGCAGCTGATTAAAATCACTGTTTTTGCCATTCTGATCGAATGGCGCAGCGCTTTAAATAAAGAAATGGAGGAATCGGGATTTATAAGCATAGGCAGCGCAAAACACGTCAAGCACGAGTGATTTGCGCCCTCAGAGGTGTTTTGCTCGAGTCGGCAAAGTGTGGGGAAGCTTGGAGAAGACAAATTTTTCACAGCCCTAATTTTTGCCAAATAAGCTTCCTGAGAGCGCTCGATCCTAGCAATCGCCCGCCTCGTCAAGATTAAGTCGGCTTTTAATGAAATTTTCCGAAGTTTTCGACTGAAATGTTCTTTGCACGTCCTGAACCTTTTAAGTCGCCACTTGATTTGGCTTGCAAGATTGAAATTTTTGCAGACGCTTTGGAATCGTTTGGTTTTGGGCATCTTATTGTCGAGCTGTAGAAAAACGCAGTTCATAGAAACTTTGCAAACATTTTCAGAAGTTTTAACCGGAAATATGGTTTGCAAGTCCTGAAAATGTCAACTCTATTTCGGCTTTATTTTTGAAATTTCGAATTTTTGCAGCGAAGTGTGCAGTTTCCTGAACAAAGCGCAGACTATCAGTAACATTGGCGAGCTCCAAAAAATTAACATTTAGTTTGTTTCTAATGAAATTTTCAGGTGTTTAAGATTAGCATGCTCCCATAGAAAAACGTAAACAAATGCATCTGTTTAATCTCAGGCTTTACTGCAATCGGGTACGGAAGAATCTGCTAAAAATGAACGGGGTTTCAAGCAACATCAATTAGAATTCTGTCGGCCGATGGGCTTTAAAAAGGAAATTAGTCGGGAAATGCACAGCGTCTCCTATAAATCGTGGAAGGAGGAAGATGCGAGTCTTGACCGTAAAAAAGCCACGTCTGTTTTTGCTCTTTTAGATGCTAATTTGCCGTAATGTTTTACGGGCGGTTTACATTTTAATTAGGGGGTTTATTTTCGGTCGATTTTTCATTGTGATTCACTCTCGCTCCCGCTTTTATTAGGTTCCTAAAATTGGCGTTCAAGAGAGGGGAGTGAATCATAAATAAGGCAAACTAAGACTAAAAACGCATGCATTTATGCAAAAAAACGTTTAGATTTGTTCGGCTCATTCAAGATAGCGGCGGGGACCGCAAAGAAAATCGCTAACTACACATTTTCCTTGCCGTTCGATTTGGTATTTCCCGGCCGCGTTTTCCTTTAGCCGCAAATGATGCCGCCTTGAGGAAAGTTTCTGTCAATCGCTTTTTGGGCCGGCAACTTATCATCAGAGATTTCGCTAAAAGCATCAGCAGGAGCGCCTGGATTGCCTTAATTCCACCTTTTTATTACGGCGCCGAATGCTCGGAAAAAATGAGAGGTTTTACCGGAAATGGGAATCTTTCATGCGAAATATTAGATGCACTATATCTTCCAAGATCAATCAAGTACAAACTTGTAATTTTCAGCACTTACAGAGAACATGCTAGTCTAAAACACCTGAAAATTTCATTAGAATCAAACTAAATGCTGATTTTTTGGAGTTCGCCAATATCTGCTAGTGAGCGCTTTGCTCAGGAAACTGCA